CATCGAAATGTTTACTATTCTTTGCCGCTTTACTACCTGCTAAGCAGCTCATCTCCAAAGTCAACTACTAACTTGATCAAACATATATTTAACCTCATAGCCTATTAAAATTTACATCAGTCTATGAATTGGTTGTCGTTTGTGAATGATATTGGGTCGTTTCATTAATTGATGGCATAATTGGGAATTTGAAAATTTTGATTCTGTTAAAGGCAGAGTTTGTTAAACTTCAACGGGACAAGAAGTAATGCTCGACAAAGCTTGCGCTGCCTCACTGACTCCTCCTCCATATTCTGAACTCGAATCCTTCCAACACCAAACACAAACCTACGACTACAAGACCTCTTCCAATTATTAATTTAACATTCACAAATTAGATTAAATTGGGTTCCATTATCTCCTCAAGGCTCGACCTTAGCTTCAGATTTCTGAAATATCCATCTCTCTCATTTCTTTCTTTCAAGTTTGTAATGAAATCCATCAGATTTTTGCAGCTCATTGCCTGTGTATTATTGTTACTCTTTCATGGCTGGTTCCTTGTCGGCGGCGGCGGCCAGAGCGACAGGAAAGTTTCGATCTCCGGGAAGGGGGACGACATGTCGTATTTACGCCGCCACCGGGTTGCCGCCGGAGACCCGTGGTGGCCGACAAGAACCGAGATCGTCGGTCGACGGTACGGTTACGAATACGAAACTGACAAACACATCGTTCCGAGTGGTCCAAATCCTCTGCATCACTAATTAATCAGTGCGCGCGTTGAAGCAAAAACTACAAGTCGTTTTGCAGCTTTGCGATCGACAAAGCTTTGTTTCCACTGGAAAAGTCAGCAATTTCTTTTTTTCTTTTTTTTGTCGTTTTGATGTTTTTGGGTTGAATATGGCAGTTTTGTTTGACTTTGTTGGAAAATAACAACACTTGCATATGTAATCATCTTTCATGAATGCTTTAATTCCCATATGAAGTTAATTAATTTTTATGCATCTATATCCACAGACCACACGTTAGTGTATTGCATTGGTCCAATGGGAAATTGGAACCTATCCCACATGTAAACTTCTGATCTCTGACTTTATTCCCCATTATTGTACAAAAAGGAAAAAACTTCAAATTACATTCCGCTAAACTATATATAAAAATATCTGAATTTTGCCTTTCTTTTTTTTTTTTAATAATATTCATATCTTTGAACGGAGAGTTGGCTTATCAAAATTTAAAAGTCAGTGGTAGCTAATGTCGAAATTTGCTTAAATTAAGTTTGAAAATGGAAGAAATAGAATGAGGAAGAATCTCCCATTTTTTAGAAGGGAATTATGACACAATTGATAGACAGTAGAGAAGCAAAATTTCTTGACAACGAAGGAAAAGAACTTTTGAGACAAAATTGAAACGTTAATTGATAGGCCAACTCGTTTAAAATATTAACAAATGCTTGAGTAGGGAGGAGGGAGTACATAAATGAATACATCTGATAGATATCTTAAGATCATGGAAGCATGGTTAATAAATGTTTAAAAGAATTAAGAGTCATTATATCTATACCAACAAAGTACACTTTTCTTTTTGGTGACTTAATCCTAAGAACTTTAAAGTAAAACGTGTTTTTGGTTTAGGAACCTGAGAATACTGGGACAATTAATTGCCATACTGCATTTCGAATTATATTTATATTATATACATGTAAAATTGTTTTACTTGCTAGTGTTTTAGAGATAAAATTTAAAAAATATTACTTACATCTCTACTACGGATTAAACGTTGAATTTTCATAAACTCTGATGGAACTAAACAGACAAATGTTACGATGGGTTTAAATTAAAAGTAGGTAAACATAGCCCCTGAAAAGACATGAAAGTTGGTTTAAAATTCCAAATTGTTTGGAATTTGGAAGGCTAAGAAAGAGAGGTAATTGATTATAGTTAGTTATAGTAAGTCCCAATTAGGACAAGAAGGTTAATGTCCTTTAGATGAGAGATAGAGCCAATTATTCACAAATATTCTTGATCCTCAACTCAACTGTACCGTTGCCACTCAATTAATTAATTCTTTAATGAATGAGGCATATATTGAGCCATAACCACAAGAATTTGACCTTTAATTAATTTGGTTATTGAATTGCTGCAAACTGCTCTACTGAATTTCTAATATCTTCAAGCCCACGCCCACTTTTCCATCCTTTAAATAATAATACCAACAAAATGTAGCCTAACGTCCCAACCAACCTGCGTCATTGGTTTTCACTCATTTTTCATTCCAAATATTAATTTTAACATTAATATATAATTTCAGTATTCTTTTTTTTTAATAATAATTTTAGTATTCTAATGTTGAATACTTGTTTTTTTTAATATGTTTAATATTGTTTTTATTTAGCCAACTTTAAAAAGTTTTGAAAAATGTATGTTTGGTAATATTTTTGTTTTTTATTTCTTTTTTATTCAGGTGTTAACATAAGGGTATGTTTGGTAATATTTTTGTCTTATTTTTTTAACAGTTATAAATGAAACTGTGTTTATTAACAATTTCTTGTTTTTCGTTCTTTAAAAATTTCAATGAAAAAAAAATTATGTGAAACTTATTTTATTAAATATTTAAATTTTTAGGTCGTATTTACTTTTCAATAGTTATTATGCATTTTATAAGTCAATAATGATGATGACAAGAAATATGATTTGATTACTTTAGAAAAAAATTTACAATTTTGAAAATATTTTTAGAAAATGAGAAAAGAGATAAAAAAAAAAAAAAGAGATCAAATGATACAATAAATAAGAAACCTAAATACAGAGCTCTATAAACTAATAATACATATACCTACTAACGTTTAGCTGTATATCACACTACATCAGTCCAATCAAAATTTATAGAATGGGCACGTCTTTATTTTGTGCGTGTTTTTTTATAGTTATAATAATTTTGATCAGAAACATATAATTAAATTAAAATTTGGCTAAAGATATTAATTCGGCCCATCTTAATGTATGCTAATATACAAATAAGTGTATTGACAAATGAAATGATACACGACCTGCCAAAGCGAGCATAATTCAGTAGTAATTAATATATATCTTCAATCGAGAGGTTGTAAGTTCGATCCCCACCTCACATGTTATACTAAAAAAGGATGACACACCACCTTATTAATTTGAGTAACTTCTAGGTACAGTGAAACACCGTTTTTAATTAGATATATATACTCTCTATATATATATTATTTCATATTTAGTGAAGCCAATAATATATTTATATAGTACACCAGCTTCACAAATTAAATATTGATGAAGAAATAGAGCAAAGATCTTGCCCAACAAAAAATGAATAAAATTCTTACCTAATAAAATGATATGATTATTTCTTTTTTTAAAAGGCAATCAAAATGCCAGAGTTGAAGTGCAAGCCAAATTGGAAAGATCCCCCTCTCCAATCAAACTCGTTTTATCCCATTATAAAATTTTGTTACAAATCTTTAAGATACAAATTTAAAATTAAAACTTAGGTATACGATTAAAACTTGATTTGATAACGACTTAACCGATTATTTCAAATCACATTTATTCAGTACAATTTTACATATGATTTTTTGAAAATTATTATTAAAAAACCTAGAAAAATATCATTTTTAAACACTTTTTTTATTTTAAAAGTTAGTTAATATTTCAAATATATTTTTTAAAATGAAAAAAAAAAACAAATAAAAGTGATAGCAACTTTAATTTTCAAACAAAATAAAAAATAAACTAAAATAAACATCCAATTTAAGTTTCTTATATTTAGAAACTATGTTTATTTGTTCAATTTTTTTATTATAAGAAGAAAATTGATATCTTATCTACTTAATTGTATTCTAATCGATATTTTTTCATAAATTTTTAAACGTTATTGTTGGTTATGAATCTAAATAAATGAATGATCATACTTTCAATAAATAATATCTAAAGAAGTCATGATAAAACAAAATTAATTTTCTACGAAATCAGACGATGGTCCGTATAAAACTAGTCTCTATTATCAAGATTGGATGGTGTGGACCATGGATGAAGTATAGAGCCTAGAGGGGGGTATAATTTAAAAATAGCGAAAGTGGTGGGGCCCAAATTAATGGGAAACACGAAAAATGCCAAGTTGCACGCTGAGTCAACGTCGACTCCTCCGTCCCTCCACCCACTTTCCAGTTTCCCCACTTCATTTAAATTCCTCTTCTTTAATTTACACCTCCACCTGGCAACCTTTATTTATATTGGGATAAAACTCATTTACCATTCCCTCTTTGACACGTGGCACCCACTAATAAATTCCCCCGGGTGCTATTTCTATTTTTATCCGCTGTGTTCAGTGGAATATGAAACTCCACCAACGATTTTCACATCAACACATTTTGCACAATTATCGTACCAAAATAATAATAATTAGTTAATTAAAGGATGATTAACCTCGAGAAATAGTGGAAAATACTTAACTTATCTTTATTTCACCGTTAAATAATAAATAAACGATAAATCTATTGACCTGCATTTGAAAAATTGACAGTTCATTATTATATTTTTAAGTCTATTTTTATTTTTTGTAATTTTCTTATTAATTTTCCAAAATTTAGATCGGATGAGTCAAGTATTAAAAAAAAAATGGTGAGTCTTCCTCTATTTTAACTCATCACCCTACTTCCTTATTAATTGATGTTGTATTTTAGTGGGAGATAATTATAAATTATGCAGGATATATGCCTTTTGTTACTATATAATATTCAAATTCAAATAAAGTTTTTATTTGAATTTTTTATGATTGCAAAACTAAAATTGTTTACTTATTATTTATATTCGCAATTCCTTTTCCAAATAAAAAATAGATTCCGTACTATGTCACGCCTTCAAATTTGGCCCCTAGATGAATAAGTGGACTCGTATTTTTAACGCAAAAACGAACTCTCATTTTTCTTCAATAAACTTAAAACATATATCGGTGAACTACTGAGGCTGTACGCCGTCGTTTCTTTCTATATAACTGTAGCGCAGTCGCAGACCCCACGAGGACCAGGACCACAAACTCCCCAATATAAATACACACCAAAATTCCCAAATTCAAAATCTTCTTCATCCGAATAATCTCCCAAACAGATTTCGCATTTCGTTTACCTTCCGCTTCCGGTTTCTGCATCATGGGCCACGCCACACCGGAACGCGGCGGCTCTGGCTCTGGCTCCGGCTCCGTCCTGGCGTCGCCGAAGCGGGCGGCGGCGACCTTGCTGATCTCGCTATCGACTCTGGTGGCTCTGTGTGCGAAGGAAGCGAACAGAGTGTCGAAGAAGCTTCAGACGAAGCTGAAATCGAAGCAATTTCCGCGTCTAGAATTGCGATCGCCGCAGGTCCGGCCGAAGCGGTTCCTGAAGAGCATAAGCGACACGGCAATCACGCTGATGCAGAAGAACAAGAACAAGAAGACGAAGCGCGGCGGATGCGATGCGGAAGACGAGTGGGGAGACGGAGGAATCTGGCAGAAGGCGATCCTGATGGGGGATAAGTGTGAGCCGTTGAATTTCTCGGGCGTAATTTATTACGATAGTAAGGGGAAGCAGCTGAACGAAGTTCCTCCACGGTCGCCGCGTGCCAGTCCTCTGCCTTCCTATCTCGCAACCGGCCATCGCCAGGTATACTGAATTAGACCTAAAAGGAGCTTCAGATTTCAATTGGTTAACGTAACGCGGGGGTGATTTCAGGTACGTCACCTGAGGATGTGATTGGATTATAGGATATGCCTTCGTTTTTATTTTGGCCCTGGTTTTGCAAGTTTCTGTTTCTTTTGTACAGAGTGAGAGTAATTTTGTTGTGCATGTAAAATATGTTATGTTTTGTTTTGTCTACTCAAGAGTAACAATTGTCAAAGGAATTCGCTTTACTAAAATTATCTCATCACAGACAATGAAATCCCCAAGAATTAGTATGTTTGGTGAAGTTTGTTGTAAAAGAAAAATACTTACCTCCGTGAGGATTAATTCACTCTTTTCATAAAAAATAAAAAATAAAAAAAAATCATTTTTGTATTTCTTTCTCTAGATCAAGACTCATCCTCAACAACGAGGAGTAAGTATTATTCATTTTAAAATAGGTACAATTTATTGTATGATTAAATACTATTTTGTAACTGTACTTTTATTTTATTTCTTTCGATTATAATTTCGGTGTAACATTTAATATTGATTTTTTTAAACATAGTCATCGATTTGTATTTAATGGTTTTTTCGATGTATAAAGATCAAATTAGTCACTTTTTCACGGAAATTTTAGAAACATAGTAATTAAAACAAACAAAAGTTGAAAGTACAATAACCATTTTGATAATATAGAGACTATAAAATGAATCAAAGTCAAAAAAACATATATCAATAAATCTATATTTGAATATTTGAATGTTAATATTGGTTGACAAACAGTAATTTTTTTTTAGTTCACCGGGGTGGGGGATCCAACCTTCATATTAGGTAATTGATGTCTTATCATGAAGTTATATGTTTAAATCGATAAAAATAGTAAATTATTCAAATATGTATATATAAGATGTTTTTAATTGTAAATTGAATTCTCTTGATTTTTCTATATTTGTGAGAAGAGTTCAATTTTCAAAACATCGGGCAACCTGGCCATTGGTCAGGTATAAAATAAACTTTCCATTCAAATTCACGATAAAATAAACTTTCCATTGGACATGAGGTCAGCGGAAAATAATTCAAACCAGATTTGGATACTAATACTAATAAGTGATAATATAAACAACCAATTTTTCTAAAGAACTTACATCATTGAACTTTTAAAATTAATGATAAATTAATAATACTATTATAATATGGAATATTATTTATTATATTCATTATTTGAGATCAAGGCTAATTTGATACTGTACCATTTTAAATCATATTTGAATTCTTTACTAAAAAAAAATATTTGAATTCCTAACCAATATTTTTCTAGAACATGTTTTTTAATACACGCACGCTTCTAAAATTAGGCTATGAAATTAAAAACACAAGATTAAAAAATAAATCACTGTTAATAAATAACGTTAGTTAAAAAGAAAAGAAAAGAAAAGAAAAGGGCACGATGGTCTGTACACAACACTGCAATCTTTTAGTTTTTTATTTTTAAAATTAAAATTGCTTACACAAAACAGGAAACTAAAAAGAAGTTTCTCAAACAGAGACGAAGATAAAAGAAGTTATCAAATCAAATTCCCGGAGCATACAAGGAAACAAGATTAGGGTATTAATTATAAAAATATATACAAAAAAACCTGCAAAACCTATATAAATCAGACCAAATGGATTACCTTTTCAGTTCATTTTTTCATCTATGTTGGGTGTTGGTGTGTAGGGCATATGTTGACAACCTCAACACCTCCTTGAAAAAAGAAAAAAAGAGAGAAAAAAAAAAGAAAAAAAAGAGCAAACTCCATTATTTTCAATATCTAAGAAGCTGTGGAAAGAGAGAGAACAAGCCATATTAGAGAAGTGAAGTTTGAGATAAATTAAGAGGGTCCCTTAATTGTCACAAAGTCCTTCTTCTTGATTTCTTCGATCTCCATATAATCGCAGAAGGGTTCGGGCAGATTCTGTATGGAATTTTCTGCGGAAGAATTTCAGGAGCTCTGCGAAATATGATCAATATTATTATTCAAATGCGTCACAGTTTTCTCCAGTAAAATTCATGATAAAGTAATCATATTTAATTAATTTATAATAAGCAACTCACTGTAATTTGGCAATCTCTATCTGAGAAAAGTCCATGTTGGTTGAACTGTCCATAGCTGCTATTACTTGCACATTTTTGCTTTTATGTGACTCTTCTATTGATGTCGTTGCTTGCTTGATTGCCAGAACTTTGCAATTGAAATTCCTTGCTATGTCATCTTGGGCCATAGCCATCCTATCAACAAACCAATGGTTATCATTTATTTCCTTCTACTGATTCAGAAAAATATCAATGCCACATTTCTAGTTCGATAAGCTTCATTCAACATAAAAGATAAAAAGGAAAAAAGTCAATTTTGTTCCACATATTTATTGGCATCAATTTTTTTTAAGGAGGGAGTGGAGAGACAGATCAATAAGAGCTCCTTCTAACCTTGATGTGAGGTATTCTTGTTGGTCTATTCCCATTACATACTAATAATACCTCACATCCGTATGAACTCTTACTGACTGATGTGGACAAGTATAGTTTGGTCCGATATTGTCTATTTTGAAGCTAAATCTAAGTGATTTTATTTTAGACTTTACCCAAAAAAAAGGGTTACATAGCAGCAGAAATGTTGTTGCTACTTCTATATGTGTAAAATATTCTCTACTCTAACCGAATAAGTACTTGTTTTCCTTGCAGTGAATGTAAACAATTAGGAACATAAATATTACTTTGTTATTCTAGGTGTACTATTTGACATTTTTTAGGTAAATTTTCACCTAACAGTTAACAACTCAATTATATATTAGGAAAGTAAAATTATTTTCACGAACAATCCTCAGATATGACAACCCACATGATACAAAATCCTAAGTTTAGGAAAGGAAAGTTCCCTCACATCACGCCAAAGTCCTTTTTTTTTTTTTTGAGAAATCATGTCAAAGTCTTTAATGGGCCATATCAAAAGATGACATATTTTGGGTGGATGAAAAGAAAGAGTGACTATGGTTAAATGGGTCCCATCTAATATTCACAAAAATATTGGCACTTTTGGCACATAATAAAAGAATGGTCAGGTGGGAGGCGTTTTTGTGATAAAACCAGACCAAAAGAAAGCACCAAAAAGTTGTGATAATTAACTCTTCATTAAATGGAAAAAGAACCCAAGTTGGGGAGCCCATTGGCCTCTGCTCTCTAAAAAAATGGAAATCCTCTGTTCACTAAAACCAAACTCCTCTGCCATTAAAGGAAGCACAAGATTATAATTAGGCAATGATCATGTTAATCATATTTTTAAATAGAGATTGAAATTTGAAGTTTAAACCCACCCGATGTATACTTTTAACCTAATACACAGTTGACCATTTCTGGAGCAATTTCCCAGAAAGTTTCACTTCTGATTCCTCTGTTTTTAATCTTAAACATCAAGAAGAGAGGATCCATTTCGTACATGAAGTTGGAAACAGACAGGACGGGACCCCTTTCATTAATGGCCGATCAGGATCATCATTAATGAAGATTCCCAGAGTTTCAAGAAAAAAATTATTCCAGCAACTCAGTGAATTTAACGCTAATTACACGAGAGTAATATTTGATTGATTTTGAAAACTTACTTGTAGAGGAAGCTATGGTCATGGAGGCCAACAACAAGAGCCGAAGCTCCAATCTCTCTGAGCATGGCTGCGATCTTTCTACCATCTTTATCGCCTTCCGTCACGACGATCTCTACCTTTGTCTGTAACATAACCCTATAATATGATTATCGTTCCCCAAATCATCAGTAAAACAAAGGAAATCGACAAAGAAGACGAAGAAGAGAATGCGATGGAGGAGTTGACTTAATCTGCAATCGGAAAACTTACATTGGGGAAGGCGGTGCAGAGGTCTTTGAAGGAGAGGGCTAATTGATAGCCCTTCAATCGGAGATGGCGAGCCTTGGCGCCGCTTTTGGATCTTGTGGAGGGAAATACATGGAGTAGAATAATCAAATCGCCATAGCGCATGAGATTGTTGAGCGCCCATTTCAATGCCGTTCTTGCTGCTTCGACATCCTCCACCATCACCGCGATTTTCCTCACATCCATCTCTATATCTCTCTCTCTCTCTAGGATTGTTCTATGAGTTGAAGTTTGTGAAAAGAAACTCACAACTCATCGATTATGGCCCCCGGCTCCTTCTCTATACAATCGAAGCCCTACTTCTGTAAATCAGTTGTCGCCATGGCTCGAATTAGAGGAAGAACAATGGAGAGAGGGGCGGGTGAGGACTCAGAATCAGAGAGACGACTGTGGAATGCAATTAATTTCCAGACCCCAAAGGAACAGCGGAGAAATTATGTACTGTTTCCCACTGGGATTTTGCTGTCTTTAAATCGACGTTGATCCTTCAACTTTTGGCATTTTTGGGAGGTCTGATCGTGGGTCTAAAATATGAATTTCTGCTGTGTTCGTGGGCCTCGGCCGCCCTGGAAAGATAACCCTCTGTTCCCTCCCGAAGGTTTATGAATGAATTTTGTCAAATCTCTCGCGCGCCTGCCATTGAAGAGAGTTTCAAAGCTTTAGGTTTATGATAATAATTTGAAATTGATACGCTCTCTCTCAAATCATAAAAGCTGACTTTACATCAAGCATTGATCTCCCAATTAAATGTAAATCTTTTCTTATAATACCTTTTTTATGTGCTTTTCTTATACTACATTTTTTCTTTAAATAAAACAAAAGATAAAGTAAGATTAGGAAAGTTACGGTACAAAGTCTACTCAATTCTAGATGCAGGGATCATGATAGTTTGATATGGACATCCTGAATTGTGTCCCGTAACAAAATTTGTTGTTGTTACTAATATTGTATTCTCAATTCCTTCTTCCACCCTCCAATTTAGAGAAGGAAGGGATGAGAAGACACCGTGGAGGATGTGTCATAAATATATAATTGAGTTTGACTACAACAATAATCGATTATCTTCATGGTATAATAATACCAAGTTACGTATTATAATTTTAAATAATCACAAACATTTGTCCTTCTTTTATACTGCAATATATGGATTATTATATAATAAATTCTTTTACTTTTCATACATATAGAAATAGAAACATATAGCTTACAAATAACATATCGTTGGATTAACCCTAAAATATACTTAAAAGATCACTCTTTATTTATGTCTCTTAATTTATATGAGGTGGGTACTGACATGACAAACGTATTTGTGTAGTCATCTAATGCATAATATGCCAGTATTTTACTATGATTTTAATGTTCAAATTATTTTGAATTTCATAATTTATCATTCTATCTTATCTTGCGTCTAGCTATGTTATTTATGTTCATGTCTTTACGCTGTTTGTTATGGTTTGTTTGTTTGTTTGATATTATTTTTCTTTGTTTTTCCATTATTTCTAAGTGTATGATTTATTTGTTCATGTTGTGCTTTGATATTGGACCGCAAGATTTGTTTTTTCTCGTTACAACATATTATTAATATAATGTTTTGGAAAAAGCAACGCGCCTGATGAACGAAATTTGGAAGGATGATTTATCGCACCCAAATTCCGTAGCTGCCACGTGTACGGTCAATATAATTATGGATAAATAAATTGCTGAGTTTGCATAAAAAAAAGATCATGCATCCTGACCTGACACATCATTATTTTATTAATTGTTTAATTGTGTTAATATGGGAGTGTATGGGTCGTGCGCTCACGTAGTTTGTTTGTTTGCTTTTGTTTGTTCCATGTCTTATTTTCTTCATCTTCTTGTCATGAAGTTTAAGATATATATATTCATTAGAAAAATAAAAGGAAATTAAATGACATTTTTTTTTAAATTACAATGTTCCATTTTTTTCGTGTTCTTGGTTAGAATTTGATACCTTGCTTGCTCCTAAAAGTAAACTAAGTTTTCACTTTATTTTGTTTTCTAGCCATGCTTTTTATTTTTTTAATCGATGAGAGATTAAACTATTATGTTCGAACCAACTGATTATTTGTTTAACACGTATTTTTCAATACTTATAAAATTCAATCTCAAAATATATATATATATATGATTTGAACTCATGTATTTATAAATTTTGTTAAATCTTTGGATCTTTTTAATGTGCGACCTTTAACAATATTACAAATTAATCTAGGATTTTTCAACACACATGTTATACAATTATTTAATTTTGAAAATATCAGCTAGAATAAAGATTCAAACTTTAAATTTTATGTGCTTAAAAGTATTAATATATATTAATAAACTAAACGTAGTTTAGTGAATAAAACATTAATTATATTATTAATTATATTATTTGAGGTCGTAGGTTCAATTTTCTACTTCACATTTGTAGTAAAAAAATATATATATATATATATATATATATATAATTAGGTTTAGATTGATTTTATGACGATTTAATTAATTAACAAAAATTAGGATTTAGAGTTGAAATTTTTTCCTGTTAAAAAATAAAAAATAAATGATTAAATAGGGAGAATTGGCTAAACTTATAATTTAATTTAAAAGAAAAATAAGAAGCATGAAAATAAGAATAGTCCGAAACTGGACCGGCATGACTGTAAAACTCGAGTCGGATCTAATTTCTGAAGGGTTCTAGTTCTAGGGTTCAAGTCGTTCGCTGAATTTCTGATTTTTCTCTTTGGATTGTCGACCACGATGACCTCCATGGCTGCACTCTCAAGAAAGCTCTGCCGCTCTCTGCTGTCGAATTCAAGAGCTTCTCATCACCCCGAATTCCTCTCCATGACCTATTGCACGAACAACAGTTCCTTCCGCTCAGGCTCAGAAATCGGTGACTCCAGTATTGACTCGGACATGGACTCGGACTCACATTCAGTGACTAATCGACCTTCCGTCTCACCGTCCTCGTCCCAATCATCAACCCAGACGAGGATGATCTATAATCGACCACTGGAAAATGGCCTCGATGCAGGCATTTACAAGGTACATTGGTGAACGAGGCGAGTGTGATGGAATTTTCGGTTTTCCATGTTTAATTGCCTTCATTCTGTTAACGATTTTTATGTTTGCGTGAAGGCGATATTGGTTGGCCAGGCTGGGCAAAGTCCATTGCAGAAGCAGCTGAAGAGTGGGAGAACAGTGACGCTGTTATCAGTCGGGACGGGTGGGATTCGCAACAATCGGAGACCCTTGGCGAACGAGGAACCCAGGGAGTACGCTAATCGGTGCGCAGTTCAGTGGCATCGGGTTTCGGTTTATCCACAGAGACTGGGCGAAATTGTCATGAAGCACGTTGTGCCTGGGTAAGCTCTTCGGTTTTATCCATTTATCAATCTACCTGAGATACACGGAGATAATGTCAAAGAAATTTGTTTATATTCTGCAAATAATTGCCGTCAATATCGTGATAGTGGCCAATGGAAATTAGCGAGCTTATGTTATTTTAGTTTAGCTTTAATTCCTAACCCAGCCTATTATTAACCTCGTAAGAATATTGTCGTATTAGTTTCCTCATTTCTTTTTTGCAGCTTCACATTTACAGTGTAAAATTTTTCCTTTTCAGTTCGATTTTGTATTTGGAGGGGAATTTGGAGACCAAAATTTTCACAGATCCGATAACTGGTCTTGTTCGACGTATTAGAGAAGTTGCAATTCGTCGCAATGGTACATCACTTATTATTTTTTAATCACACTGTTTTTATGAAAATAGAGTTCCTCATGTATTCTGGGCACTTAAATTACATACCATTAGCGTTATCTTTGTCAAAAAAAATTTCGTTAAGTTTTTTTTTTATGAACTGTGATGAAGGTACAGCCTTTTTAAGACGCAAACTTTCATTCTGTGGTGTGATACATTTTTTAGCTGAAAAAAGCAAATCTATTTTTCTCGTGCTTTAGTAGTAGCAATGCTTCATGTATATGTAGGCTGTAAAACCTATATGGGTTACAAACTGGTGTTTGAATCCTAGTATTGGGTCCCGAAGTTTCCATTTTCCTTTTTTCTTGTTTCATTTTTTTCATTTCCTGATCCTCTGTGAACTGGAGGGATTACAAAAAAGTTTGATAGCTTTGTTGTGACTTGCCATTCATGAATATTGAAATTGATGGCCCCTGGGATCACATATGAGCATTGATAAATTTTTGCTGTCATGTCATGTAGGCCGCCTTGTATTTTTGGGCGATGGAGGAGGTAACGTTCAGCAGTCCACTCAATCAGAATTCAAAGGTGTTGGCTATTACTAATAAATCTTGCTTGCAGTTTTGTCATCTGAAGGTTTGAATGACCCACTTTTCCCTGTAAATGTTGTGATTTCACTTCAAAATAGTTGCAACAAGGCATTCTTTAAATGATCTACCAAGTGGCCTTTTGATAATTCCCCCTCTCCCCACCTTTGGTTAAGTGACAAATGTATCGGATATCTGTATGATTTACATGAATTTGATTGAGAGAGAATTGCAATCCAATTTTTATTTTTTTCCAACAGTGTAACTAACACCTCGCTGTTTATTTTGTGATAATTATTGTTGCTTGCCTGCCAGTGATCATGAGCATAGTTTCCGAGAGACAAACTCTGATCGGTTGCAAGAGGCCCATGCGTAAGTAATGTGAGCCACGTAATGTATATTTGGTCGATTGAAATTGGAATACAAATACATTATAACATAAAATAGGATACACAATAACTGGGAATAATTGAGTTTCTTACCGTGATGTCATGTATTTTCACTGGTAGATAATAAATGAAAATAGATTTGTTTTAGTAAGAAGTCAGAAGATACTAAAAGAATGCAGAAGATTGTCTTTCCTTGTCGTGGTGCAGAAAGCGACAAAAAGGCGACTAAGATGACTTCTAGCTTCTCTCGTCGTCGTAGGCGATTGCTCTGACTCGCTATGGAAAGATTTAACAATATGCATAACCAAGTTCTCGACTGGGGATCAAGTTGGTGGTTAGGTGTTATAATTCCTGTGAGGTGAATCATAATAAGGACGCCCTTGAATGAAATCTGAATACCCTTTTTACTTGTAAAAGCTTGAGCGAAATGTATGGTACAGTCGTGGAAAGACTAAAGGAAAGATCTTTGTTTCAATTTATTCATTCTTTAAGTCAAATGTATCATGAATTTGAACAACTATATTAGCATGATATTAAAAAGGAGAATACCTCCACTATGTCAAGGCTTGAACTGGGGCCTATAGTTTGGCCCACATTACTCTGTTATGATTGGTAGGCCAATAACGGCTCATGTTCTGTGTCACGAGAAAATCTGCTTCCTATAGTGTGTGGTTATCTTTTTGTATATTGCTTATCCACGAAATCTTCTGCCGCAAAAGGGTTGAATGATAATTCCCACACCGTGCTGAAAGAAGCGAAGCAGAAGCAGTGAAATCAAGAAACTGAGGAAAGGAAAATACTACTAATCAGGACATGTTGCGAAGCCCCAAATTTCTTCAGCCCACAAAGCTTCTACACCCTTCGGCTCCTCCACAGTCTCCCTCTCAGTCGCAAAACATCCCCACTTCCCCAAATTTCCCAGTCGTCAAACAATGTTGCAGAGTCTCCCGCCGGCAGCTCGCCGTTGGAAGCAATTCTCTCTTGCTTCTCTTCGGATCTCAGGTTCTGGACCCATTTTACATGTCCTCCGAAGCAGAGGTTGAAGAAAGCCTGGTAGAAAATGAAGAAGATTTGCAGAGGAAACAGAGCCTCATTGATGGCCCTCGTTGCACAGGGCAGAGCCCCACCAAGCGTGCATTTCTTGATATCTCCATTGACGGAGAGCCTGCTGGTCGCATCATCATCGGGCTTTACGGAGACGATGCCCCTGCCGGAGTTGCAAGGTTCGGTAATCTTGTGAGCGGAGCTGCAGGGGTTTCTTACAGAAGAAAAGACTTTGTAAAGATCACATCAAATTATGTCCAGCACAGTGGAGTGAGATCTTATGGTGTGGATGTAGAGCTAGCGAAGAGGACAGGAAATGAATTAGCATCCGAGACTCTAAAAGATGAATGGGAGAGAGTCAATGAGAAATGCTCTGGAACTAAGAACATGGCTGGAACTGTGGGGATCATTGTTAGAGATCCTTCAAAACCACCTCCCAAGTTGAAGTTGGTAGCCCGGCAAGGGAAGCTGGAGGTTGATCAGGAAGAGGTCGGGATGGAGCCGAACGGAACTGAGTTCACGATTTCCGTCAAGGATTCGCCGGAGCTGGACGATTCGGCCCTGGTGATCGGAACAGTTCTGGAAGGGATGCAGGTTGTGGACAGAATTGCGCAAGTGAAGACAGTGAAGGACAATACCACTTCTCCTTACTTCAGGTAAAGTTCATATTTTTCTTGGACAAAATATGATTTTGGTATGAAGGGTAGTCTCTTTTTTCATTTTCTAACGAGTTAATGAAGAATATTCTGCGTCGATTATATGTCACGATGATGAATTAGGAATTGAGAATGAGGTTTGAATTTGTGAGCAGGGTGGCAAAGCTAATAGGAGATAAAAGAGCTGTTGTGGCAGAAAGAGGATTCAACCGTCCTTATTCAAAAGTGATTGTCACAAACTGTGGGTTGATAGAGCAATGACATGGTTATGTTCCCAGTTTTGCCGTTTTTTAATCGAATTGAAGATCTAAATGTAACTATATCCTTATGAATGAGGCATTTTATATCATATCAAAGTTTTGAAATCAACTTTGGAAATATTCTTATATTATATCTCCGTAAATCTTTTGAGTATGTTTAATATATAGCGAGATAAGTATTTCTTCTTAGAGGCCATAGATTAGATCTCCCACCTCTCGTTTGTGAAAAAATTATTGAATGTGATTGTCTCCGTTGGATGCATATTCAAAAACTATATGCTTCTTGATAACTGTTGATGCAAGTCCAAAATAAATTTTGTAATCTCTCTCAACATTCATCCAACTTTGAATAATCTCTTATTTGTTATATATATTATAATTCATCTTACCATTTTCTACAAATATATTGTTCACTCACACTCATCTAAATATATATATCATATTCGAGAAAAAGCAATTAGAATCTTCAAAAAGTAAAGATTTCAGTGATTTCATTCTTTGTGCACGTAACATAAGATGTGCAACTCCACACAAAAGCTAGAACATGGTTTATGCAGTTTAATTATGATTTCAATTTCTAAAGTTCGAATTGTGGAACATGTAAATTTGAAACACGTAAATTAGATATTTTTGTACTTTTAATCTGTAGTCCACGTATACAAATTTTACATTTGCGGTCCCAGTCGTTACTTACAAAATTTTGACCATGTTTTGATAAATTGCCCTATAAATACTGTCTAATATGTTAATAGCCCTTCATTTTGTCACTCCCAACTTCAATACTATGTTCCAAAAAACTGCAAAGTCAAATTAACTATACTATTACAAAATCCCATAACTAGTTTGAAACAAACAGATAATGAAATGACAGCAGAGCCATCATTGTAGAAGGAACTCAATTGGGTATGGCATGGCATGAAAAATCCTTCTTCAGAGGATGTATCCCATACCTTAGAAGAGGCAGCAATCCAATCCCGGAAGCTCTGTGGGGTTCTATATGTGACAAACGCGGTCTAGTGCTTCGAGTTCTCGTTAGAAACAAGACTACTTTTCAATTTCTTCGCGGAAGACGTGAACAGATCTCGAACCGATCTAACGGGGTCATCGACCTGGAAAGGTAAACAAAGTTGGTAATTATTCCCTTGGGATGAAGGTCATCATAAAGAAAAAATACGGCAAAAAGAACTACATCAGGGCACAAAAAAGCAGGAGGTTGAAAATTTTAGAAGATACGGGTAAATTAAGTCCCATGCAGAGACATCTACTGTTCCAATTATTATCAGTGAATGCTGTGGATAAGTAGTTGCGACCCAGTTTCCTAAATTTGTTCCAGCACAACTTCAGTCCACAACATGGTTTCTTAAAAATTAGGATATTCACTTCTGAGTGATAAAAGGCCAAAGAAGGTATTGGCAAAACCAATCTACTGTGGCACCACTCTCTTACAGTATAATATTGGTACATTCAAGATTCACATTGCTCCAAAATATCGCTAGATGTTCTTACGTACCTTAATTAGAGACGCTGCGGGAGAGTTCTTAGGTGAATGTGGTGAAGAGCTTTTATCACGATGTAAAGCAGTTAGGGTTTGTTTCCATCCAGGTGCCACACTTCCTGTTGCAGTCCAGGGACAAAAAGGCCTGTGCTGCCTGATTGGATCAAACTCCATTATATTATCCGATGGTGCACCCTTGGGATAATTCGCTGAAAAGAATAAAAAATATTGAAATATGGTTCATCACTTATTCTACCATTTGAAAGATAATATTTGACTCGGGAATCATAACAGAGAGGATACAAGCTTGACGTGACAAAAATAGACATGCCGGGTTGATTATTTTAACTGACTTGTTGGTAAGCCAGCTGCTATGGTAATCCAGATAAATTATATACAGAATGCCTACTCAATCAATCTAGCATGAGACACGTTATACTAATGTTTGGGCGTGGGAAAATAGCTCTCTTCTAAAAGATTTCCCCAGTATATGGTATAACAAACAAGCCGACTTGAAAGTTCAGAAAGCAGAATACTTGCTTGTTGACAAGTCTCCTCTCCACTTATTCCACTCACAACTTTTGATGTAAACAATTAACTTCAATAATTGTTGCACTCAGATCTGCCAAAACCACTGGATAGCATAAATCACAGAGTATCTTGGAGGAAGTCTCACCTATGATTAACTAGAGAACCTATCCAATTAGTGAAATATAAATATGCTGCATCATTCGAGGTAAAAGAAGGATGAGGAGGGAGTCGTACCTCCACCGTTGGTCCCGCTGTTCACAGAGGTATGCGCTTTGTCTTTGGCATCACCTCCTTCAGGATCCTGGCTTCCTGAGGTGGTGTGGTTATCAGAACCAAGTTTATCTTTCATAGATTCTTTCTCACCGGTGATATCTGTATTTGTATCAACTAATGATGGGAGCACCTGTAAGTTAGCCAAAGAAACTTCTTTACTATTTGAAGTATTTTCTGAAACCTGTTGTGAATCACACTTGTCAGGTACAATGGAAGTTTCTTTACTAATTAAAATATTTTCTGGAACCTGTTGTGAATCACACTTGTCAGGTACAGCGGAAGTTTCTTTACTGTTAGAAGTATTTTCTGAAACCTGTTGTGAATCACACTTGTTAGATACCAGGGAAGTTTCTTTACTATTTGAAGTATTTTCTGAAACCTGTTGTGAATCACACTTGTCATATACAAGGGAAGATAACTCTTTTTCACTGCATTCACTACTTGTGATCATAACAGCATCTGTCATCGTCAAAGAGTTTTCAACAGAAGAAGGGTCAGGATGCAGATCTGCTGCTTTGTTACCAGAATCCAACTGTCTTGAATTCTCAGCGTTCTCCACCGTTTCATTTTTCTGCACAGGAACATTATCTGTGCTCTTTACTTGAGTTTCTTCAATTGAACCATTCAAACCAGATTCAGGGAAAGTTCCCTGCTCTGTAACATTCGTTCCTTCCAATAAAGGGGTCTGATCATCACCAGTAGTACTGCACCCCTGATCAAGTTTTTTATTCTGGAACAATCTTATGTCTTCTGGCTGATCAATTTGTTCAGTATCTTCATTGGTTTTACTATCATGTAACAAGTTTTTATCCAAGGAATCGGCTGGAGCCATTTCTTGGTCTTCTTGGTCATTATACGTATGATCACTAAATTTTTCATCATTGAATAACCTAGCCCTTAAATTCTGGCCAATGACAGGCAAAGTGATGGTGGCCTTGAAACTCTGACGTGCTGGGGTAGGACCCCCTGCGATTGTTGAAGTTAAATTTGATATGCTCTCGTTTGATGTTCCAACATTACCGATACCTGCATGATTGATGAAGAAACTTTTGTTTCCTGAATCATGAGTGCCCGACTCACTGTTCATTTCAGTGGATCCAACCAGTCTGATGATTTCCACAGGTCTAGGAGCTGTATGAAAAGTCCATAATCCAACGCTAGCTCCACAGAGACGGCAATCTAAAACAACAGAATTGGGCTGAGAGTGCAGTTCACTCGGAATCTCAGCAATTCTATTATTTTCTTTGGTAGCAGCAGCGTGTAGATTGACAGCAGGACGCGGATCCAAAATGGTGGATGTCTTGAGAGATTGATCTGACCCTGTCTTGCAGTCAACTACATAGGGCAGTGAACGAGGTTCCCATCCAAACAAGCTAATTATCTTTAGAGCCTGCAATATTTTCAATTTTACTCATTTCACTGAGAACCAGAAAGAGAGCTTTTGTTAAGAATTTAAGGAAAAAAATTCTGTTATGTTTGATGGAAAATGCAAGTAGTCTGTAGTCATACAATTTTATCACCAGTATAAAGTATTGTACCTAAATGTTACTAAATTACAAAGCCAAGCTCAGAAGGAATGGCAAAGGTTGAGAATAAAAGGAATGAAGATGATAAACAACTGCTAAGAAGATTTGTAAACGTATACTACTGGATTTAGCAAATGTAGATATTGATGCAGCAAGAGCAAAACCTGATAATATAATTTAGCAGTATCCGAGTCATGTCCATCTCTTATGTACTCAATTTCGGATTTGCTCAGAGAATCATCACCAAATTCCTGCAAGGATGATTCTTCAAGAAATTGCTTAAGGTGGGAACTCTTCATCCATTTGAGAAATGAAGACGAAATAACAGGGAGAGCTGAAAGATGTAATAACATAGAACAACGCTCTCTAAATCTATTAACTAAAATTGGAGGAGGGGTAGGAGGAAATTCGGCCAATGCTTCATCACAGGCATTGTCTATCCAGGGACAGAGCAACTTGTGCCCATTATCCAACTTTAAGCTAAATACCAAAGCGGCCTTCTCAACTGAGAGGGAAAAAAACAGAAAAAATTCCTCTTTAGAAAGGGAGAATAGAAAACAGAGTCAAAATTTTCACATTCTTTCAGTACATGTATGGTAAAGAGAACCATACCTTGTTGCTGATTCCAAGAAGATGGAGTCGAGAAAAGGAGACGTGCTCCGCATGATTCACAAGCAATAGTATCCATATCTACATTGATCCAACCTCTTCTAGCACAATTTAATGCATTTACCACCTAAGGAAGATTTAACAATCTCTAAAATTAGAATCAAAGAATATGCGAAGTGTGTAAATGTTTCCATGGAGGAAAAAAAAAGACATTTAATTAAAGTCAGATATTTGCAAACTACATTTAGAGCCCATGTACTCTTTACAAATAAAATGACATGACAATACTGAATACCTAGTAAAATCAAATAGAAGTCTACTGAAGCAAATCACACCTTATAGAGAAACATATCAAGAATACAGAAATACACCATAGAGAAATATTATACAGTGAAATGTCCTCTAATGAATCCAATAAGCACGAACACTACAAAACAGAAAATTGAAAATAAAAGAAATATTCATGAAATGTTAAAGAAAAAAGTGGACAACTGGACCAAACCTTAGGTTTACCAAACCATGTCATCGACTTGAATGTGGTTAATCTTTTCAAGAGATCTCCACGGTCCCAAGGCCTGCATAACGGAGCATCAGAGGATCCAGCAGAAGCCGATGAATGCTTCTGCAATGCCTCAATTACATCACCTTTTGACCTCAGCTCTCCCACCACCAAAGCAGACGAAGAATACGAGCGTTTTTTCCCTCTCGACAACTGTACTCCGGATGGACTAGCATTTGAAAAAAATCATGTTAAAATAGTCTATAACAGCACTCAGGAGGGTAGAAACAACACTATTACAGAGTTTAACCGGGCATATTATTGACAAACTAAAAACACAGAAACTCCCAGCTGAAATCAACTTCTGCTTTCATCTTCTCAAAGAACTAACACAAACGAAACGAAATACATAAGAAGATAAGGTAAGGAAAGGAAGAACCTGGAGGAGGACGGGGAAGATGTGGAATTAGAGTTGGGAGTGGCTTGTGCATTCTGAAAGAGCTTGTCCATGATGGAATGGAACCTCTTCTCTGAATCTTGTGTCATTGATCGATTCTACGTGCAATCCAATTCCCGATTCTTCGAAAATCAGGTTCCCGGCGAAAACTTCCGAGCAGCAAAGCGTTCTGTAATTCTCTCTTCGGCGGCGTTTTCTGATTTCTGTGTGTTCGGCGTCGCCCACTAAACGTAGTATCAATCGGCCTCTCTTTCCGACTCCGACTCGGCTCTCAATTTAGATGAAATGCAATGGCACCATTTGTAATTATTATTATTATTATTTTATTTTTTTAGGAAACCATTTGTAATTATTATTATGATTTGACAGTAATAAATAATAATGTTTCACCGAGGTTTAGATGTCAAATAAATCAAGATTTTATATCTTTTAAAATACAATTTTTTTAGCAAATTATATTTTTGAATAATTAAAAATTTTCAATTTAATCAATAAATACTAACAAATAACAATAAGCATTATGCTTCAAGTAGTTACAAGTTCTAAGAGAACTTATTTAGTTGTAAGACCTAGCTGAAATTTGGTTGGAAATTATGCAACTTTGAGAAATTGAGTATGATATTTATTAAAAATTAGAAACTCTTTGACAATACGAAACAACCATTGTTCAACTATTTGACAATATTTAAAAAAAAAAAAACCCTCCTTCTCCTCGATTGAATTTTCTTATCTTTTCTTTATCTTTTTTTTTTAAACATCTCAGTTGAGATTTCTTTTAAGTTCTTATTAAATAGGTTTATAAAGTTAAATTATATATTACAATTTACAATCACATGAACTTGAAACCTATAGTTTTAATGTAAAATTGATGAGATAAGGTGATTGGCACGTGTTTTTCTTTTTTCCACGAAGTCATAAAATCTTTAATAAACTGTAAAATCTAGATCTACAATCCACTCAAACTCAAGGTTCATCAATTACATCCTTATAATTTGTCTATTTTTAATTCATATAGTCTAAAAACAGTTTTCATAAAAATAATTTGTATCATATAACATTTCCTTCATTAAACATACCTGGCACACAAAGTACCAATTACATAGTCCATTTCTTTATTTTTAGTTTTTGTATTTTCAATTTTTATTCATTTTAGTTCCATATTCTCAAAATATTCATTTTAGTTTGGATACTTTAAAAAGTGACAATTTTAGTCCCTTCAATTTTTATTTTGATCTCATTTCTTTCGATCACAATTGATTTTTATTCGATATAAAATGTGTTAAAATTTTATAAACAAAGACAAAATTGGTAACTCTTTAAAAAAGAGTGACCAAAACAGAACTTCTAACAGCAAAAAAGAAGTAAAAAAGAGCAGCCATTTTGAAGAACAGTTATAGTAATACCAATTCAAAAGAAATCCCTCTGTTCACGCTCCCACGTCTCTCTCTTCAAGATCTTCCCTCTCTCTCCACTTCCAACAAACTCCTCGTTCCTCCCCATCCATCTTTATATATTCAACTTTTTTTACTTAATTCACTCTCCTCAACAACAGCTCCCAAATTTCATTTTAACCTCCAAGAACATCACTAATGGCTTCTCAATCTCTCTCACTTCCAGTCCTCCTCCTCCTCTTCTCCTTTCACTTCTTTTCTGCCAAAAGCACCGACTTTCTGGTCGGCGACGAAGATGGGTGGGCAGTCCCTAATCCAAAAGAAGCCGACAGATACAACAAATGGGCCTCCCACAACAGATTCAATGTTGATGACACCGTCCGTAAGTAGACAAAACACTTGTCAAATTTTTCACAGTAACAACCACAAGTGATTGTCTTTGTTTGTTTGTTTGTGTGTTGTTAGATTTCAAGTATGAGAAAGACTCTGTGATGGAGGTGACAGAGGAGGAGTACAAGCAGTGCCTTTCTTCGAAGCCTCTGTTCTATGACAACAATGGGGACACTGTGGTGGGGCTTGACAGAGCAGGGCTGTTCTATTTCATCAGTGGGGTTTCAGGGCACTGCCAGAAGGGCCTCAGGATGATAATCAAAGTGTTGGAGCCTCTCAATCTCAGCCCTCCTCCATCCCCCAACTCTACTGCTCCACCCCACAACAACAGCAGTGCTCTTGATTTGCTCTCTGTTTCCTGTCCTGTTTTTGGGATCTTCTTTGTGTTCTTTCTTTCCTTTCTTTTCATTTGAATGATTTTGAGTTGGTACTCTTTAGAATGCAGTTTCAGGGTTGGTTTTCTTGGGTTAGGTTGTAGAGAAGGGGTTGGTTTTTTGATGATCCAGAATTTTTTTGATTTTGTGACAGAGAGTGGTTTATTTGCCTTCTTCTAGTGTTGTGAATGAATGAAATGTGGCTTCTGTTCTGGTTTCTCTTGCACTGCATCTGAATGCAACTGCAACATTAATGTGTGAAAATCTTTTATGCCATATAATCCAGATATTAGAAATTATTGGAAGAGTAATGAACAATTCAACGTCGTTGTGTTTTTTCCCACGGGACCCAACTCCGACCATGTCGAGTTTCTGGTGGTTTCCGGCGATGGTTCTGGTTTGGGCGTTGATGCCGATTACAATGACAAGATTTTTAGTGGAAGGTGAACTGTTCCATACCCATTACGGTTCTGGTGTGGTGGGGCGGCGAGCAAGAGAAAAAAGGGGAAGAAGAGGTTGGGTGAGGAGAGAGAGGATAGAGAAGAGAAGAAAGAAATTAAAAAAAAAAAATATGACAAATAAACTAAAATTAATATAAAACTAATAAAAATTGTCACCTCATTTAAAAATTAACCTTATCTATGTCATGTCATTTTTCCGTCAACTAACGGAAAAATAGACTCATGATCATTCAGAACTCTTTCTCGGGACTAAAGTGTTACTTTTTGAAAAAATCTGGGACCAAATAGACACCATGTATTTTACCCTAAAAAAATAGATCCATTTTGAAGAAATGGTTAAAAATATAACTTTCTGTTTTTCAAGAAAAATCAAGACAACTGACAGTTAATTGATCGAGATAAATAATTTCTGTTTTCTTTGAATTTTATACTAATTTGGGTATTTTTGCAACATAAAATTCAAACTCGAAGTTTTGAATTAACTAAATTTTTCTTATAGAAAATAAAAAATATTTTCGATGTATGTAAAATCGCATAAAATAAATTGAGATATTAGAACAAATTGAAGACTATACAAGTATTATAAATTATATTTAAAAGATTAGATAATCTGAAACAGAAAAGCTTAAAGCTCAAACTCACATGTCAAAGTGAACATAGCTTTAGTAATAATTAATATATACCTTATGAGCTCATTCTCCCGTGATCTTGTAATATATCGTGGTGTTTAGTAGTATATTTATAAACTTAATTACAAACTAAATATTTAGCTTAATCTAATATTATATTAATTAATTTATTAATATTCTTTTTTATAAATTATGTATAATTATTTTATTATATAATTTAGAATACAGTTTTAATTTTAACAAAAATAAAATTGTTAAAATAAAATAAAATAAATTTATAATATTATCAAAGATTTTATTATTTTTAATATAATTTTGCATCTTAAAAATTTCAAATTCTGAATAACATAAAAAAATCATTTTCAAAATTTCAAATTCTGAATAACATAAAAAAATCATTTTCAAAATTTCTACCGGATCACAGAATTCGAAAACAATTTTAAAAAACGGTATTCGTTGAATCCGAAACTAAAAAACAAAATCCTAATTTCCTACCAAAATCCTTAACAGACGTACAAACTACCGAAAATGAATACGTCCATAGTTCGTAAAACCTTTGACTAAGGCATTATTTTTCCAAGCAAAAGTTCACTTAAACCTCTAAAAGAAATATAAAAGAGAGATATTATACTCTGCGTTCTGTTCCACAAATTTACACCATTATGAAATCAATAAGTCGCCACATTCAAAATTTTTCCTATGCTATGAATATTGGGATACAAAATCGCATCTGGTTACCAGTACCAGGACTATTTTAGGACACCAGCACATAAATGATTCACTAAGGGCCGAGTAATAATTATCTCAACTATGAAATCTGAACAAATTCATTTCATAGATGGGTTGACAAACAACAGTTCAGTTCAGCTAGTATCTTACAAATTGCCTCTCATCCTCCTCGACGTTCTTCCTCCCGTAAGGATTGCTCTCACTGAACCGATTCCTGCTCCCTTCTACTTTACGCGTTTTCTTTCTGAATTTTGAGGCACTGCTGTCAATGTTCAGGTTCACCTTTGGAGGGTTGGAAAAGCAGAAGGAAGCTGCAATAGCCTGTTCACATACAATTTTAAGGTGAGAAGTGAAAACATAGAAAGCTTGCTACCTCTAATCTACGCCCCGATACCCTACTCATCGAGCTACAAGAATTCTAGCAGGAAACTTTGTGGAATGACATAATACAATCATCATATAACATGTATACATCAAATTTCAGTTGAGAAGCTCCTCACTAAGAGTTTACAAGAAAGTGCTGTACATTAGATACAAAGACAGATTACTTCAATAAGCGTGAATGCCAAGATTTGACTACTGAATACTGACTGGAATGGAATAGATGACAAGAAATTAATCAATACCTGAAGATCAAGGCGGTGAACATTAAAAATATCTTTCATGGAATGTGAATTATAAGCTAGTAAATAGGATCTGTAAGCATCCTTAGCCGACTTGTTCAGATAATAGTTACTGCCCACCAGCTTCTCCTGCATCATTCAAGATAGTCCACGATTAGAATCACAGGATGAGTTTCATATTTCATGTGTGTCTGTGCCTGAATGTCGCTGCTGAGATGACAAAAGGAACCTACCAGATGAGACTGCACGTTGGCTAGTTTCTTATCACTGAACTCATACTCTTTGACAGGAACTTTTGCGGCCTGACAAAAAAAAATGAAGAACACTCGAAGTATTATAAGGGCGGTATACTAGTGAAACCATTTTAATCCCCCACACAAAAACAAGTCCCTATGAACAATCGAGCTCGATTAAAGAGAAGAAGTTTAAAATATCATGCTTGACATTAAAAAAACTAAGGACTTAGAGTCTCGTTTGTTTTTGACCTTCCAAAAATAATACCTAACCCTTCAGAAGAAGGTAACTTGCCACCAACAGTGCATACAATTCAATATAACTTTTTACGGCAAATACCAGACCTTCAGATAGCGAAGAAATTGAAGCTCTTCAGGAATCAAGAAAAGTAGGGCATTTCCTTTGCTACCTTCACCTCTAGCTGTTCGACCAACTCTGTGAATATATTCCTAAAAGCAATAATTTCACATAATATTAAACTCATATAATAAATGAATTACAACAAGGATACTAAATGAGATGTGAACGCAATTAAGGAGCAGCAGGCACCTTGGGTTCATCTGGAGGATCGTATTGCACAATCCAATCCTGAGAAATACAAAATGAGCATAGGGAATCATCAATTAGGCAAGGGCAAATATTGAAACACACGTATTAAGTTAAATGGCTCTGATACATATAACACCATTATTATGCTTCAGCTCAGTAATTTTAAGAAGAGCATTTTACAATGTGACAATCCACTATGAAAACAGATTCTTAATGCCAGCTATGAAGTACATACAAATGTTATCTTATCTATAATAATTGAAATCTTTAAACAAATTTAGTTCTTTTCCTCATCCTTTCAGGGTTATTCTAACGGAATAGAAGATCTCATTTAATGATCCAGATGGTGGTCTGCATGGACACTTCCACTTTCCAAGAACCTCCAAACTAAAAGAGTTCCACATATCAAAACAAAAATATAAGAAGTATACCCACACACAAGGAATACAGCATATAAAAAAAATATAAGTAATTAGGGAGAACATGCCACAGTCTGTAGCTATTTCCATCCAACCAATGAAAAATAAATGTTATCGTGATTTGTACGATAATATGACCACGAAGGTAATAGGACTTTAATTGTTTCCATCCGGGGAAATGCATTGACAAAACTAAAAAATAAGATAACTCACAACAGCAGGAATGTCAAGTCCACGTGCAGCAACATCAGTACATAGTAGGATCCCTGTCTCAGCCTTGTTGAAGGCAAAGAAGGTAGAAGTTCTCTTTTGCTGCTTTTGCTTTCCATGGATATCCAAGCAATCAACCTTAATGTATCTAAGAAGGTCGGCATGGAACTTTACAGAGTTACAAGATGAGAAGAAGACCATAACTTTCTTAGATAAGTTTCTCTTTAAGAAGGAATATAGAAGAATGAATCTTTTAGCACTGGGCACAACACAATAACCCTGTTGCAACCCTTCATTGGTGACCTACAACAACATATATGTCATACAATAAATCAACGCAAGGGCAAGTATAGGAAATAAGTATATAAGTAACAGTAGATTACGTTACCTTTGTTCTCCCATCATCCACATCAATATAAATAGGAGTTGACTGAAATGACAAGCGGACAAGATCTTCAACCTGTTTTTTTTTTTTTGAAGGATTAGTGGGGAGGGACGAAACCAATATCAATTTACATGAACAAAGAATAGTTCATAGGTAGAAGGGAAGAAAACACAAGGAGAGAAGAACTAAGAAGTATAAGAGTTGAATACAACCAACAAACCTTTTGTGTTTGGGTTGCTGAGAACAAAGCAGTCTGCCTATTCTGCAAGTTAGATTCAAATTACACTACAATCAGATTAGAACAAATTACACATTACATTCACAAGGACAATAATGACCACCGCCATAAAAAATAATAATAATTACAGCAATAATGCACCCCTACTCTAACTACTTTAACTCCATTTGGTAAGGCATACCAGGTTACCTAGCAACTTTTAATAATTAACACTGCAATTGTGAAAGGAAAAAAAAGCTGAAATATTATATCACAAAAGACTACAACAACAATCAATTCACCTTTGGTAGGATCTTTATAATTTGTTTCATTTCCTCCTCAAAATTGGTTTCCAATATCCTGTCTGCTTCATCAATTATGAGGCACTGCAATTGAAGTTCAGAGGAAAAAAATGTCACGATATATTTATAAGATCGAGGATAACATACAAGTATTGCCAGCACCCTTTGAAGAGTTACAATATGCGAATTCAAGTCACTGAGAATGGGAAGTAAAATTTTGAAATTCTTTACAGTTTAATCATAAATCCCAACTTAATTGATATATAAGCCTATTATCAATGAAATAGTTCCGTTTCAAAAATTGAGGCTGAAAAAGACAAGAAATAACAGAGCACATGAGACACAGCCATATTTTGGCAGCAACAAGGCCGTAACACTAACAACAAATTTCCACAACAAATTTCCAAGAATCCATTCTTTACGCAGTATAAAGATGAAAATATTTTCATCAATAATACATCAATAATACAAGGGAAATCAAAAAAAGGCCACATCACCTTCAAATTTTTATATATAAAATTCTTGGTATGTTGAAGATGGTCAAGAAGTCGACCAGGGGTTGCAACTAATAGATTGACTCCCTTTGTAATACGATCAGCCTCAGCTTGTCTACTAGAACCACCAGTAACTAGGCCAAGTGTCTGTGAATGATATTTGAGAAGCTCTTTTGCCACTTCATGTGTCTAAATGATTAAAAATAGTAAATCAGTAAAAATATCAAGAGATTTGTATAAGGTCAAAAGAAAACAAGAAAAGGGTTCTTAATGATCAAGCATCTTCGAGTATTAAGAACATGTCTGAGTCTGCTCTTTTGAGTAAGCCTTTTAGCATAGAAATAGTCTTTCTTTTTGTGCGTTGCTTTCTGCAATGTGCTTAAAGGGAGATTTTTATTTTCTTTCTTGAAGCTTTTAAAACATTAATGAAGTTTTTATTTCCTTCATTGAAAAATATAATTGTTGAAGATAGATCTAGGGAGTTAGTCCTGAGTTGTGGGACAATATACATTCTTGAGCCCCTATAGCTATGCGTACTTTTTCGTCTTTATGAAGTTATAGTTATTTTTAATTAATACATACCGGATCAGGTAGAAAAAGAATAATTGTAAGCTCCTTCAGCACTAATATTAAAAGAGAAATGCATGCCAGGGAAAAATTTTCCAACCTGCATTGCAAGCTCCCTTGTTGGACAAATAACAATAACACCAGTTCCATTACGAGGAGTGAAGCTGATGTGATGTAGCAGCTCCACAGCTGGTATAAGAAAGGCAAGGGTTTTCCCTGAACCAGTCCTCGCGGCGCCAAGAACATCTTTGCCAATCAGAAAAGGTGGAATTGCCCTGGCTTGAATCTGCATTCATAATGTCAGGAAGAATTGAGAACATGCAAGTCTATGTATTAGATATTGCTACTAAATTATAACATCTAAGAAACGAAAAACCCTCACGATCAGATGAAATTTCATTAATTCCAGGGTTGAACTTGAACTTACCCCATTATTAAAAACAATTTATAGCCAACATCAAAGCACTTCATACCACGAGTCACGGGCTAAAATGGTTTTCAGCATTCCCATTCATGACCTCAAAATAATACTTGCGACTTGCATACTTTAGGTCAAATAATTATTAGAATAAAATTTTCCCTTAATTGAAATGAAATTTAATCTTTTCATTACTAAACAACGCCAACAAGTAAATTGCACTAAATTGCCCTAAGCAGAAATCTCACCTGAGTCATGTGCTCAAATCTCATGTCCTTAACCGCCCGGAGAGTTTTCTCCGACAACTCAAGCGAATCAAATGAAACGGTACTCATAATTCCCGATCCACCAGTCTTAACCTTCTTCTTGTTGTTCCCTTGCTCCTCATCCTTCTCCACTTCCCCTTCCACATCATGCGCTCCCTCGTCACTGTTAGCATTTTCATGTCCTTCCTCCTCCAACTCACCCTTCGTCTTTGTTTTCGTTTTCGTCTTCCTCTTCATCTTCTTGACTTCTTTCACTTTCTCTTCTGATACATTACCTTCAGCATCTCCTTTCCCTTCTTCCGCACCTATTGAAGGAAGACTTTTCTTCGGTCTCTTTCTCTTGCGTCTTTTGTCCTTTGCCTCGACCTCTGCTGAGGACGGAGCTTTCTCGTTCAGTACGACCATGGCAGTGACTTCCAATTGATTCTTTCGCTTAGAATCTGAGAAGAAGTTGGCACCTTTGATCAAGCAGTGGCGATCTTACCTGTTCTTTGATATTGTAGGGCTAGGGTTTATCGCAGTTGGCACCCTTGCTCAAGCAGTGGCGATTTAACCTCTGCTTTCGATTCTAGGGTTTTAGTGCCGTTGAACCCACCAAGCTGAATATTCAAAGAATACTATTTTGGTTTATCTAGGAAGAAAAATAAATACCACGTATTTTTTGGTTAAGTTAATTTTCATCAAAATATTTATTTTGATACCTAGATTTTAAATTTTAATTTATTTTACTCCCTGATCATTGCATTTAAAAAAAATATCATTCTATTTACAAAATTTTAACACAAACTTTATATATGAAAATATTTTAATACAAAGTTGTGAGTGAGATGTCGTGTTGAGATTTTAATTGAAATAAATGAGATAAAAATAAACATTAAGAGACCAAAATTGTTGCTTCTAAGTGCAGAGATTAAATTGTTGCTTCTAAGTGCAGAGATTAATTAAAATAAAATAAATTTAAAAGTACAATAACCAAAATAGTATTTAAATCTAATTATAAATACATCATTCAATTATAAATATTTTATTGTTTCAAATGTACTATTTAATATGATTTAAAAAAAGTGAAATGTTCATATTTCAATAATAATTTTGTCAAAATACACCTAAAAAAATGGTCGAAAGTATATATATATATATATTCTTTTTAGTATACAATCTTTTGGTAAAAATAAGTATTTTAATCTATTAAATTAGGTTCAAGTTCACAATGTAAAATGAATAATGAATATTGATTACTGATAGAAAACAATAATCATCAAAAAATTTTATTTGAATTGGTTAAAAATGGTAAATATGCAAATATCTACCTGCGGGGATAATGTCATTATCATAAAAGAGTATTCATAAAAATTAAAAATTTTCAAATTCAATAAAGTTTATGGAAGATGTTATCGAAAAGTAAGAGATCCGGGACTTTTAAACTACATAAATAAATTTTGCATATAGTCAGTTATGAAATTATATAAACTATCAAACAAACAAAACTATAGTCAAGCTTGTCTCAAAAAAAAAACCTATAGTCAAGCTCAAGGTGAAGAAGGAAATTGCAAAGAAAACGAGGGGCACTACAGATATTGACATCAATCTTCAGCACATAAGCAACAAGTAATATATAAAAAAAGTTATAAAAAAATGTTGATTTATTTTTAATTATTTTTGCAAAATTTGAAAATTTTGAAATAGGGTCAAGAGCTCCATCATTTTATATCATTACACATAATTGAGAGTCGTTTTTTTAAAATTATAAATGTAGTTATGTTTAACATGGTTGTAGTTCAATTGATTAACATATATATCGTCGACTAAAAGATTAGAGGTTCAAATCTTCATCCTCACATGTTGATGAATTAAAGAAATGATGAATCTATTGTACTGTCTTGTTATTGAATCAAAAAATTAGATTCATTGGTGGATAAACTAATCGAAATTTAAAACATTTTCACATCCAAAATAACAATAATAATAACAAAAACAATAAGTTATAAATTAGACATAGGTCGCAAGTAATACTTTTTTTATTATATCAAAGATTTAAAGTGTTGAATTAGTTAAGACACTATATATTGGTTTTAAATGTCTGATGTTTAAATCACGACCCACGCCCACACAATGACATCCAGATGCAAGTCTTCAACACCACGCGATGCTTTAAACAAAGAAAATAGGAACTTATATCACATGAATTCAAAATTTAACTAGAGGCAAACAGTTTAACGAAATTCGAAATAAAAATTATTGAATTAAAAAATTTTACTACAAATTTTATACATAAATTATTTAATACGAATTTATGGATATAATTCAATAAAATTAACGAGTGAAATATCGTACTAAAATTTTGCTTTAAATAAATGAGATAAAAAATAAAAAATGAAGTGACAAAACAAGACAGTTTTTTAAAGAACAATTACCAAAACTAAAGTTTCAAAAATACAAGAATTAAAATAAACAGTAGTTGAAAATATACACACCAAAATAAACATTTTGAAAATAAATAATCAAAATAGATTGGGCAAAGACAGCGAGACTAAAAGAATATTTAAACATACCTTTTTTTTTTCCTGGTGGGGGATTGCCAATTGCCATTGTAAGGTGAAAAGTCTTTATTAATTGGCGCAATGATGGAATAATGAAGCAGGGCAGGGCTAGCCACCATCTTTTGAAGAATGATTGATGAGAATGAGATGAACCAAAAAGAACGAAAAAAAAAAAGGTAAAGGTAAAGACTAAAGAGGAGGAACAGTGGTTTTTGTTAGAGATAATCTTAAGCATTTTGTTTCCTTTATTTTTGTTGTCTTTTTTGATGCCCCATTCTCTCCCTCTTTATTGAGAGAGAGAGAAGCCTTATGAAAGCCATGAAACCAGGAAGAGAGAAAGAAAGGCCACTACCAAAGTGGCTACCATCTTTTCTTTCAACCATACCCCATCGTTGGCGATTCATGTTCCTCATCTATCTCTATAATGGAAACACAATTCCTCCCTCTTCATTCATTCACCACATTACACACTTCCTTCAGTTCAGAATCAATCTATGATGAAGTGATAATCCCAAAATTTTCAGAAAAAAAATTAAGTCAGAAACTCAAGAGATGTGTGAAAGAAAAGTGAAAAGCAGTCAACAAAAAAAAGGAGGAAAGCCCAACAGTGCAGTGGTGTCAGGGAATGTGAGTTGCAATTTCCTTTGAATATTTTTGCCTTTTGATGACTTCTATGGCTTGGCTTTATTTCAAAACATTTTGGGATTGATTAATCCCAAACCAAAAAGTAATGATTGGAACATCTTGACGGACCAAATGCTGAAGTTTTGTGGGAAGGTTATGTGAACATAAGTTGCCACCAGAACCTCACAGGGAAAGATGAAGGAAGAAGACACAGAACTAATGATCATTGATGAATTTATTGAAGGAAGGTTGGGGGTGGGGGGGACATCCTTACCATTGAGAGCACCCACCATCCCGAAAAAGAAGGCAACAGCAAGAATATTAGAATAATCTCTTTTTCTTCTCGAGTTTTCATCCAACTTTACTCTCTAAATCAAACCACGACCGAGTTTACGAGCTCTCACGAAATGCATCTCTCTATCCAAATAAAACAAAGTCTCTCTCAGAGAGAATGAAAATACGTCTGCTTTCGCTTAAAGATAGAAGAGAGTTTGACAACTAAAATGTGAAGACCAAAAATCATTCATCTCAAGCTCAACGGTCTGATGATTCAAAGGGTAGGGGTTGTTTTAACAGACTAAAGTGAAAAAGAAAGATTAATCTTCCTTCAATATCTCATATCAACACAAAAGCAGGAAAGTAGGACAAGATCTTGACCAAAATTCACTGGAGCATAAAGCATCCTCATTAAGGTAAGTTTAGAGACCAACAAACAAACTTATGTTAGATCCAGATGACATAATTAAAGAAGATGAAAGCATAGATAGATAATGGATGTCATTTTTGGAAAGAGAGCAGAGTGGGAACAAATAGTAAAAGCACTTGCCTGCAATAAGTATTAGGCATTGATTTAAAGCCCTCTTTCTTTTGCTCCTGTAACTGTAACATGTTGTTGTTGATTGGGGAGTCTCTGTTATTGGCAAACAAGAAGAATTTAACCAAAATGCAAAGACAATCATTTGATTGCAACACCCACCTTGTCTTATCAAATATAAAGGACTGAACAAAAAACTATACATATACACCTTCATGGCCCCTCCTCCCATCATGTTATAATGTATTGCCCCCCACCTACTCTAACAAGATACAATAACCCACTAACCATTAAATTATCCCAAAAGATCAGAAGAAGAAAAAAGGAAAATCAAAAACAAAAGTAAGGTTATGGGGAAAACTAGCTAGGCTCCATCAAGGCTCGACTAAATTCTTTTCAGATGAGCAATATCCAGAGCTTTCATGGCTGCAGCTTAATTAGACTCTAAGCAAATAGATACTGAGTTCAGGAGTTCCATTGCTATCTGGGTTCATCATGTAGAAAGCTTCGGAATCTCTCGAACCCACAATTCTCTCAAATTTGGCTCTCATGTACATGATTTCATTATCAGAACCAGTTTCAGATTCAGGCGACTCAGCTCCAGCCGTTTCGATTTCAGCTTCATAGTTTCCTGGCAGAACACCTGCACCCATCGAAATTGGCTCCACAGCCTTGAGGATTTTCATCTCTTTGGCCCCACAATCCTTCCTCGAAGCAAAACCACTCTTCTTCCCATTGCAAAATGTCCTCCAGACAGGCTCTTCTAGTAGTCTCACTGCTTTCTTTTCCCCTTCTTTCTCTTTATCACATTCCAATGCAATTCGGACCAACCCAGACGCCATTTCTTTTACTAAACCACTAATAGGCGTCGCCAGCTCTACCAAAAAGGCAGGTTCGGAGTTGGGGTCTCTTTGGAATGCAAAGTGCACATGGCCACGCCGAGAACCGAAAAGGGTTCCGATGACCCGAGGCCCCAGACCCAGAGAAAGGTTCGACCGATTTTTGCCAAACACTGTGAGAACCGAACGCAACCGTGCAACCGCAACGGCCGGCATCTTCCTTCTTTGAGCTTGGGCTGCGGGATGCGATGGCTGCTGCTGCTGCTGCTGCGGCTCTGGAGAGACGACTCTGTTCTTTTTCTTCATCTCTTCCTGCTGCTCGGCGCCTACGGAGGAGGTTTTGAGGGTTGGGAGTGGGCATTGATCGTCTTCTTCTTCTTCGTTCCCCACCTTCCTGGTCCAGTGGAAGTGTCTTCTGGAGGAGGAGGAATCCATGACCGTCTTCATATGAAAAGCAAAGGATGAGAGCAAGACAGTTCCTTAAAATATTTGAGATGAGACTGGGTGAGAGAATATAAGAGAATGAGAGGAGATTCTGGGCTCTTCTCTTTAATTTGGTATGTGGGGGCAGTACTCAAAATTCTTTATTTTTCTAGGCAGCGCAAGAGAATCCTGACAAAAGAAACACACACTGACCCACCAGCTGATATACGAAATATGGAGAGAGAGAGAGAGAGAGAGAGAGAGAGAGAGAGAGAGAGAGATGTAGAAATGGAAAAGAAAGGAATCTGAGGAGACAAAGTGAGTGTTCTTTCACTTTCTTGTGGGTAGAGAGAGAGAGGGAACGAGAGAGGAGGATTGGGGGGTGATTTTGCTTGACCGCCCCTTTTACATTTTGACCCAAATCTCAAACGAGTAAAATTATGGGAGCCGAGGATCGAGACCATACAAAAGAGTAGAGACAACACTGTTCATAATGAACATTGGTCGGAAAATGCAACCTCTGAAAATTTCTGAGCTGTGTCTTATGGAGATGCAAAGTATCATAACAGGTGACGTAAGGCTTATCTGATAGTTACTGAAATCTCATGGCCGTTGCTGGTTGTGGAGCAAACATTATACCAACTTCTGTAACTGACACTTCATTGTTTAATGAGCCAATGGTATGAAGGAAGAGGGAAACTTTTCTTTTGAAAAAAAGATTAGCCGTTATATGATTTTACCTCCTCAACATAAACTAAATCTTGGTCGCCTTCAACTGCATTTTGCCATTGACTCTACTGCAGCATCTATAGAAAAAATCTCGTTTTGGCGCTGCTGCCTGTAGGCATCTATGAGAACTCATTGTAATGATGTAGTTTGATCCCGAGTGGAGGATGTAGCTCAAGATCAACCAGCACATGATCTGAAATGCACAGATCAAGAATAGATTGACTGTTAAGCAAAAAAACAAACGAGTCAGAGAGGGGAAAAAAAGCCTAAAAAAGACTACTGAATATAAATTAGTATAAAATAATGGTTTCATACAAAAACATTTCAGAAGGGAAACGTACAGAGACCAGAAACTGGGAACTGATTTCGTACAGATGTTTCTAAGCTTTGCATACTCTGTTAATCACTTGTAAGTTTAACTCTCAAAATTTTGATCAACCTGTGGCTGTCTAGGACTAGGAGCAGGGGCTCCACAGATTATTATTGCATGTGCCTCTGCAAACATTCTCTGCCGCTCAGCCAATGCTTCTTCCTCGGTCCATTCAAATATGTTTTGCTCAACTCCACTCTCACAGAACCCTGTTAAGAGAAAATTCAAAAGCCAAAATCAATAATGGAATGATTTACAGAAAATATATGTCATCAAAACTGGTTATTTTACGTTTTTATTTTCAAAACTGTACTTAAGATTTGTGATGCAATGAGTTACGATTGATATTTTCGTACAAATTGAAACACTGTCCACATGATCGTAACTTTGGAAATAATAACATTTTTTTAATGAAAAATAGTCTAGTTGTGAGAAGTGAGAATGCAATAACAGAAAGAAAAAACATTTGAAAAACAGTCTTCCAACAACGGTATATAAAAAACATTTATTCTTAAAATGAGAAAACCATCTCGAAAATAGTCTCCAAACAATCTCTTGAGTAATTTCGAAAAGTAGAGAAGGCGACATATAAAAAATTCACAATTTTAGTCACGCATCTCTAACAACTGTTCTCACCAATTTCTTTCAACAAAATTTATCTTGCTATTTAACTCTACAAAATCTCTCCTCAACTTCTCTCACCGTCTCATCTCTCTGTTCACAATCTCTCATCAGCTTTGTTCTCTCCATTCACACTCTCCCTCACAAATCATATTTCTGCTATCTTAAATGTATCCTATTTATTAATTTGTCCGTTCTAAAAATACTTTTCAAATAATATCGATTATTCCCAAAATCATTTTTTAGTAAATTCAAAGTACAAAATTCATTAATCATTTTCGTTGAAGCACTTGTAATAATAATAATTATCATCATAAACATAAAACTCCCGTAAAATTAAAAAAAAAAAAAGCACACTTTAGAAAACACTCTTAAACTGTTACACATACCCTGAAGACCACAAGGGTCACAGATAGACCCTGGAATTAGTGAAAGAAAACTATATCAAGAGAACATCACGAACAAACTACACGGTGAACAAATTAAGGAAATTAGTTAATAAAAATCCCCATGTTTGTATTCCAAGTTTCTCCAGTTCCTTTTTAAGGCAATTATTCAATCGAAGTATCTTGCAAGTGTTCAACCAAATAACTTTAGCTTTTCCCATAAGTAGCTGCCCTCGAGTAATTGAAAAAGATGTCTATGGGCACGCACCAGGAAATACCAAACTCTTTGAGAATAGAGATCCAACCAATAGAAGCAATGCGCACATGTAAGAGATGGTTGATGCTCATGTCTGTCTGTGGTTAAAACAAACAACAGTGGATGAACTTAAAAGCATACATGTTAAACAGAATACATGGATGATATAGCATAAAGAGATGAAGGACATTCGCAGGCAAAGAAGATAGAGGGAAGAAGATACCCTTAAGGCTTTAAGACCATGATTGGTGCAATTGTTCTTCTTTATTCTCTGCTAAGCGTAATTAGATTCTGAAAATGTAAACTCTACGTCAATGTACAGAGAATAGTGAGCTTGCAAAATGAAGAAATGAATAAGTGGTAAAGGGACAACAATAATTTGAATAGAGGTAATTAAGGAACTCAAGGAGCCAACTTATCTTCCATCCTCTTGTAAATTCATGATGAAGCCACGAACGTCTTTATTATCTACCTTCAGCTTGACATAAAGAAATAGTTAACTATATTTCCTAAAAAATCTTAGTTTCTCATTTCTACACTAATCATAAAACAAGCCAGTTTCTCAGTATCCCAGCCTCAGCATGCCAAAGAGATTAAAATAAAATGCTTCCATGCCATTTTAATCAAATTTAAAATATATTTGCAGAAACATATGCTCATAAAAAGCTAGATTAGGAGTTGGTGGATGATTGAAAACAGCTGCTAGCTTTACTTTCACACCAGAGAATAAAGAATACAGTGAGTTTAGAAGCAATTAATGAATGTGGAAATCAATAAGTTCAAGGGAAGGAAGGGAAACTTTTCAAGAACCTAAAAAGGAAGGAAAGGGAAAAAATCACAGAAAAGAGGGAGGAAAATCATACACAACCTNGCAAATGGAAAAGGAACACCGAGTGGGATCAAAGAAACTCTCCCACAGGAGGGAAATTGATGCAGTCCATACACAACCTAAAAGGAAAAGACAAACAGAAAACTGATAGAAGAGGAAAAACGGAAACCACCTTTTTGGTTTTAGATGTAAGATAGTGTAGCAGATTGCAACCACCCACCCACCCGGTACCCACACCCACACACACACACACAAAAGAAGAAAGAAAAGGAAAAGAAATGGAGTGAAAATGAATTCTAGTACTTTTTTCTTTACCTATGTTTTCCTCTTCTTAATGGGACTGAACCAAAAGATCTTGAGCACCTCTTGCAACTTTTACATCTTGGGGAAACGTCTCGATCTTTAATGATTTTGGTCATGGTAGCTGATTAAGAAGAAGATGAACATATATTGCATCAGCCAAAATTACCAGAACATATAATATTGAAATAATTTAATCTCAAATTGAGATAATCAGCGTGAATTGGCATAAAAAGGGGGACTAATCATACCAAAGAGCAAATCATCACAACTGCAAACAATGTAAAGAACAGAAACAGTAAAAAATACTAGAATAATGGTTGCACATAAAATATCAATCAATCTTGTTACAAAGATGATAAAACAGGAACAGTTCAACTCAAAGGTTCCTTTTATTATTACTTTCTTTTTATTTCATCTACTTTCTACAAACAAACAAATCATGATAGAACTGGTTCAGTACAATGCATTTTCCCCATAAAACTAGAACATGAAAGTAAATAATTTTCAAGAACTCTCGATCAAGCAACAATCCAAGAAAAAGAAAGCATCTACAGTAACAACATAAGAGTTAATTCGCTGATCAACCGTCGACAATGCATTAACAATTCCAATACCGAATTCTCAACAACCTATAGACGTAAAGCGACAGATATCCTTCATATTGTCGAGCTCAATAAAAGAAAAAACAGAACTAAGTATACGAATTAAGAACTTCAGAAAGGAAACCTAAAAGTAATCGGCATTATACGTCGTAGAGTGCATACTAACACTATACCTTTGAGCGACCTCTCTGAACTTTCCCACGGTGTTCAACATCCATCTCCATAATGATCTTTCACCAAAAAAAAGAGAAAAAAAAAAACTCGAAACTTTTGAATCTTACGAACAAACTGAATCAGAAACGCAATAAAGAATCGCACATCCAACACATAGAATAAATGAAAGCAGAGCAGAGAAACGCGATCGCGCTTAACGGCTTATTGAGTGAAATCGGCAAGAAACGCAGCGAGACAACCGATTGAAGATGCGAGTTGAAGAAAATCGACAGCAGGTGTAGAGGCCATTTTTTATGCAGGCATAATACGGGGACGAAGCCGTGGTGGTTCTGCAGGCGGTTTGGCGCCAAGGAAATGCGTTGCCGGAGGTCCGTTCAACTGTAGTTATCACGCGCCAATCAGACGCGTCGTAACAAGCAGAGAGCCTGCACCTCTTGGGCTTATAATCCAATTGGGCCGTGGGCCCTGGCCCCGTTTTTTCTCATGTACTCGCGTTAAAGATCCTCTATCAGTCTATCGTCGGTCATTTTTGTAAATTTTCCTTTTATTATTAAAATTGTTTATTGCCTGTAATATACTTTCATATTTATAATTTTAAATTAATGAAATATATATATATATATATATATATATGTTTGTATATATATAATTTGGTGATTTACATTTCCATTCTTACATAATCAGATCTACCACTATTTCAACTTTTAAAAAGTTTATTATTTCTACAAAATGTTAGTATTGAAAATATCATAGTGACAAATGGGGAAATTGAAACAATCAAATACCGTTGGTTTCCTGATTAAAAAAAAAATCAATTACCTTTGAATAATATTATAAACTAAGATAACGTGTGATAAATGCTATATAATTTCAAAATAAAAATATACGAATAGTATTTTAACTTTCAAATTATGTTAACACAACTTCTTAAAGTTATTATTTTTTTAATTTAGGTAACCATTTTCCTTTATAACCTATCTAATCAAAAGTATTTGGTGTGAATCTTAATATAGTTTCATAGTTAAGACACATGTTACCATCTTAATAGCCATCATTTTTTTAAGTACAATATTTGTAGTGGAGGATTGAACTCACAACCTCTTGGTTGAAGATATATGTCAATTACAGCTAAATTATGCTTGTTTTGGCTCTCAATAGCTATCGATTGATCCCTACTTTCACAATTGTTTAATTAAAACAATACAAAACGTACAACACCCACTTGACCTTCGCTCACTTAAATTGTTTCTAAATCGTTACGTCATCTATTTGAATTATAATTTTCGTACCTTTCTAGAAGGCTAAACGTCTACTCGTTACTAAAGTATTGTAAAAACAAGTCGGTATCTAATGGTGGTAAACTTGTTGGGATTAGGAATGAATGACATAGATAACAACACAATGAAGCATTGAAACACACTCAAATTCCATGGTGTAGATTATAAAGTTTGAGGGGGAGAATATTGAAGTTTAAAATTTAAATAGACTACACCTAAAATAAAGAATTGGGTACAAAGTGGGGTCCACAGTTGTTTGATTTTGGTGTTGGGCCCTTCACCTCGGCCCTGCTCTTGTGGTGGAGGAAAATTCACTCCTTACTATTTTAGACATGATTATCGAAAAACTATAAAACTTTATATAATTATTGATGCTTTTCACCAAGACATTCACTTTTACTCACCGACAATTGGATAAATAAAGTGGATTGAGACCATTTAAGTCAGTTTAATTTTACGAGGATATCGTACAGAATAAGTTTGTTAAGAATTCCGTCAAATTTTGTATTAAAGAGTTTCTAATATAGATAGAACCAATAATTAAATTTTGTAAAGTCACTTTTTAAAGTTACATTAATCAAAACAAATATTTAATCGAATATTTACTCATCTACGTAGATTTGAAATTGATATTATATTTTAAAATTCTTGAATAACAATTCATATAAAAATTACTGAATTTTTTTTTTTATTATTATTATTATTATTATGCATATGGACACATCTATTTTAGAATTCCAACCTTTCCAAGTCAATTAATAAAGTGTATTTCGAAAATGAATTAAAAAAAAAGGAGGAAAAAAAAGTGTATTTCGACATTTCACAACTATTTTTTCAAAAGAAAAGAGAAAAAGTGAAAAGTGGTTTTTATTTATATTACATATAAACAATTTTGAAGCAAAAGGGTTGGAGTTGGAAACTGGAAAGTGACTTTTATCAGCCACACTTGTGTAGATAGGACAAATCATTTGAGACAGGCAAATGGATTGGGTAAGATTTGAACCAAGCCATTTGAAATATTTCAGTTTTGAATTATGGCATCCAGAAGTTTCTTTTTGCCAATTTAATACATTTAACAAATCCTCATCCAATATTTTAATCAATTGTATATCACACACATTCTTTGATCATCTCCTCATGGATGTATTTTTTTTTTTTCATTCAATATATAAATCGAATAAACAAAAATTTTGTTGCACAAACATAAATTTTTTATTTTAGACCAACAAGATAAGAGGGTGACGATTACGTTTACCGAGTAATTATCTTGATTAGATATGTTCATGCAGGTAGAAAGATGTCAAAGATTTGAACCCGTAATAATTTTGAAGAAGTGAAGTTATTGGTTTTTAAAATAGATTAAATTACAAGTTTAGTCCCCAAACTCCCAACACCCACGTCTATTAGATTTTGAACTTTCAATTTCATGTCTATAATAAATCAATACATTTCTATGAAATTGTTTAGTAAGTTATTGAACTTTTAAGTTTGAGACCTTTAATTTATTAAATATTTTAAAAATTCATAGATCTATAAGATATCCGACTAAAAAGTTTGAGTAACACAAATATCAAACCTTACGTCTAATAAAATAAAAATCAGCGATTTTAAATAAGTAAATAAATAGTTTTTCTTTTTTGCTAAAGACAAAAAATAAAAAGGGAAATTTTTAGTAGAAAAATAAAAGTATTTGGCGCTTTAGGGGTTGGGATTCCTGCCAATTAAAAAGTTAGAAAGAGGAATTATAACCGTGAGGGTTGTTGGGTGAAACAGTTGGAATTTGTCTCCTACCACCTATTGTTCTAGATCAATGTTATTGAATTTAATATCAGTAACTAATTAATTTGACATTTTAACTTTTTCTTTTCTTTTTGAGTACAAACCGAATCAACGAGCATCTTTATGAAAAAATTTCACATTTATTTGGTTTGGGCGAGGTCGTTGCGCTCCTGCCTGCCCCACCTCTTGGCAAAGTAGGTTGATGGGCAAGACCCCTCTAGCCGCAATGGTGTGGGGCGTCAAAGGCTGTTGCCTCGTGGCCAACTCGAAGGGGCTGAAGTTCGACGCAAGTATCAATATCAATTGATTAAAAAGTTTTAGGTATTATTTCAAAAAAAAAAGGTTTTAGGCATTATTATTATATAGTTATTTCAACTTATTAATTAAGACTAAACAATAAACATTTAATTAAGCAGTTAATTTGAAATAATAAATATTAATTAACTACGATGTTATTCTCTTTATAATATATTTCACTAACATAAACAATTTATCTATTGAATTTTTTTTTAGTTTTAAAAATGTGGATAAGAAGTTTTAACATTTTAATGGATAATACATGTTTTAACTAGTTGAATTTTGTTCTGGATGGACACCTACGTAAATATCAAAAGTTCATGATGGATGAGAATTTTTTTCATAACTCACGGTAAATATTTTTCCAAAAAGAAAAACATGGTAAAACAAACTTGATTATTTAATATCATCTTAAAACCCTATGGCAAAATCCTTAAAGAAACAAGCTGTGTTTTTGGGTTAAGGAAAGAAAGTTGTACTAATTTTTGTGTCTATGTGTTTTACTATTTGGGTTAGCT